ACACCTGTTGGTCTATTTAACGTCAAGTTAGTGACATGGTGAGTTTTAGACATTTTGAAAAATAGTAGTGAATTTAAGAGAAATGGTGAAAACTCATGCTGAGTTTTATACAATTTTCCTAAAATTAAACTTTAATAATTTAGTGGGAAGTGGGAACCTAGGCAAGAGGCGATGGGAAAGGAATTGATGAGGATGGGAATAGCAACGACCATATCTCTTTCACATGTTGGGGGTGGAATTTTCCTCTTGTCTTAGCTCCGACGCCTTAATAGATGATGATCCACCGAACAATATACAACATTCCATGTGTTTGGTAAAAATAATGATGATAAAAAGCTTTTTCTTCAATTTCACAGTATTTGTTATTTAAATTTGGAGGGAGGCCGGCCGGAGGGATACTGAAATGTGAAGGGTTTTGGGGTATATACTATTTTATAAGAATTTAAGTTGCTATGTTCATACAATAGTAATTAGGGACTGGACCCTGTTGTAAGTATGTAATTAATTTTTTCTTTATCCTACCTTTGCAAGCCTTGTATAAGTTTCCGTCCTCTTCCTGCCTTTTCCTTCAAACCAAATATAACCTAAAAGAAAAGAAATGAAGGAGGAGACCCCAATGGACAACACCAATGAGTAGTTAGCCCTTTATATCGTGATTCACATGTATTCCATGTATGACGTCAGTACAATGACATATGAAGATGTAAGAGAGCTCGCTAGCGAGAGCCAGCCGGATCAATGGCCGTGTGGCCATTCCTCAGCCTCCAGCCTTGCTGGGAATCACACGTTAGAGTTTCTTTGAGAGATAACAAAGTACAAGTTTTTATCGGTTTCTTCAATTAAACGCCACGTTAACATGAATGATGAAATAGAAATGTATTCCAATTTGGGTTTAAAAAACTGGGCTGAGTAGTGAGCGAGTGACTACTCCGTACCACTCAAATTGAAATTTCAAACTTCGGTACATAAATATATAATACTATACAGTTCACTAAGGCAGTAGGCACGCTTCGTGCGTTTGTTTATCACTCTTACAGAATTATTCAACCTAAAAGCTAAACCTGTTAAAGTGACGTCTATGAATAGGTTTTATTCTTTAACATGCCCCCTTATGCGAAAACCCATTGGAATAGCCTGGACAACAGTACAAGTCCATCCATATCTTGTACTGAAACTTAATTAATTATTAATGGGGTGACAAGAATCGAATTATACTAGTTGGTCAAAGTGGTTCTGATACTAATTTAAAGAGCCATTCAACTTAAAAACTTAAGTTGTTAGTGAAGTTCTTGAATAGGTTTTATTCTCTAACAATCACACACTAATATAGTGGGTGCTTGGCATGGCATATGAAACTAGGGTTGTCGATTGAACTGGATTTGGTCCAATCCGATCTAGTCCAATGTGAGCCCATTACAAATGGACTAGGTCCAGTCCAATCCAATGAATAATTTGGACCATTTTGGACTGATCCAATTCAATATTCAGACCAAGGTTCAAAATATCGATACGCCCAATATGTCGATATGGGCGTATCGAGCGAAACAATACTATCTTTTTTAGTTTTTTTTATTTATTTTTGAAACCGGTTTAGGTCTCCTCCATCCCCTGAACCGGTCAGACCCCTGGTACACCCACTATAGGAGCATATTGGTGGGGTCCCGGAACGATACGTATCAGCTGATACGTGTCGATACTTTGAACCTTGGTTCGGACTGTCCAATTTATTCAAATCGATTTTAATTTAGATTGGTTTCAACCCAAACTTGATCCATCGACACCTATATTCTTATCTTATATCAATGGACCAGATATTAGTTTAATCCAACCAAATCCAATAGAAACTTATTACGGATAGACCAGATCCAGTTCAATCTAATAAATATTTTGAACCGAATTAGTCCAATCCATTATGTCTTTTTGGTCCGTCCAATCCGTTCGAATTGATTTTGGACTGGATTACCGGTCCATTGACACCCACCCTTATATGAAACCTTACTTTTAGATTTATAGAGCAAAGAGTTAGAATGATTGTGTGAAGTGTGAATGTTGTTGTTTATCATATAGCCTTACTCTTTTTGGCTACTTTATAAGCTTCTAAGCTATGTGGGGTTTGTTGTGGGGATAGACAAAGGAGACAGCAGCAAACGACCTTTGTAACCAACCCTCCACCACGTTTCTATTCTTTACAAGTTTCAATTGCTTTCTTTTATATAAATTATTTGTGATGAGAAAAAATGGTAGGCTTGTAGTCGACACGTTGTATAAAAATACGTTATTATTTATAGAGCACAGGGATCACAAATTCCTCCATTAATTTATGGTCTGATTATTAAACTGCAAGGGAACCAAGATTAACCAAGCTCACAGATGGAAAGATTAACGGTGTCGATTTTAACTGAGACCCATGCTAGGAAAAGTTTGACCATCTAAATTTGACAGCCTGTAGGGACTGGTTACATCTGTTTTTGTTATGAGATAGTTTACAAGGTTTTATGATATTGCACAGGGAATATATTTTGCTTGATTTACAATATATATAATTGTTCCTAATTAAATTCAAATTCAAAGTACACCTGAGATGAAAATTTAGAAAAATGATATTAAAATACCTTTGGCTGAGTTTATTTGCAGTGTAAATATCGGATGGGAGAAATTTTATGCTTTGGTGTGATTTTTATAACAGTTAGGGTGAAATGTAAATTACCAGTTTACCACCGAAAATCAACGTAAAACTCCTCGCATGCATGCCGAGTTTTGTATATCGATAATCGAAGGAAATTTCTGTCTCATAAAAATGATGTAAATATTTATATCAACAATCGCCACTTTTTTTTTTTTTAAATCACTAAGTGCAGTGCAGACCTCCTCCACCTCCACCTCCACCTCCAATCCGATATATTTACACCGCATTTAAAAATTAAAAGCAGCCCTGCGTATTACTGATGTTTCAACAATATGACTCCATGAACTAAACCACATTTGGTTTCATAAAATAAAAAATGCCTTTGTGGCACTAAAGTGTCAACAAAATGACTTTATAATATCACGATCCAATAATATTATTGCATGTACTGCTAATTAAACCAATGTGTGTCACGCAATCAGAACCTTTGTGCATGACTTGACAAAAAAAAAAAAAATAAATATCAAAATCATGATCACATTCATTTTAACAACTCAGAAATTCAGAATTTGTGGAAATTTTGTATATCAAAATTCTGAAGATCATTGCGTATCTCGGTACATCTTTGTATTGTACTGCGTCATCAGTTGCAGTACTCGCACATGGTCATTCCAGATCTTTTAATCCTCAACAGTAAGTAGTGTATTGTTAAATTTTTGGGTTTATAGTTGAGAATGACAACTTTTAGATTTTATCAATAAAAATAATTTTTTTAACATAATTTCTAAATAACTTTTTTATACCGTTCATCTTCTTCTAACACCTAACAAATTATTTCTCGCACAACAGGGTAAAATCACTCAAAAGTTGCCCTCTGATTTCCCATCTAGTGCTGTCTTTTGATGATCTCATTCGTCTCGCACAACTCCTTTGCCACTGACACCTTAAGTCCAGCACAATCTATCAGTGATGGCGAACGCCAGACCTTGGTTTCATCTGATGAAAGTTTCGAATTAGGTTTCTTCAGTCCCGGCAATTCCAAGAATCGCTACTTGGGCATCTAGTACAAGAATATCCCAGAAACAATCGTATGGGTCGCAAACAGAAACAACCCAATTCTGGATGAAACAGGAGTTTTAAAGATCACTGAAGACGGAAATCTCGTCCTACTCAATAAAACTTTAAGCGTTTTCTGGTCTGGTCTTCTATTTCATCATCATCGATGACAACAGCAGCAGCAGCAGCCAAGAGCCCAGTTGCATAGTTTCTAGATTCCGGAAACTTCGTTCTCAAAGACGAGAGCAATGGTAACTCAGAAATCTATGTGTGGCAGAGCTTCGATTTCCCATCAGACACGCTTTTACCAGGAATGAAACTGGGTTTGAATTTTAAGACAAATTTGAGTCGCCATATGACATCGTGGAAGAAGGCAGATGACCCCGACTAGTTATTAAAGATCACTGACACGCTTTTACCAGGAATGAAACTGGGTTTCCCATCTTACAGCATCGATATTTCCGTGTTATTCAACTACTTATCAGGGAGGGATCAATCGAGAAATACCGAAGCGGACCATGGAATGGAGTTCGATTTAGCGGTGCTCCGTCAAAACCAATGCACTCACTGTTCAGACCCATTTTCATCTCCAACACCGACGAAGAATATTATATGTGTGAACGAAACGACGACTCCATTGTCATGAGGTTTACTCTGAACCCATCAGGCTCTCTCCAACGCCTTGTATGGAATAAACAGAGACTGGCATGGGATCTTTTGTATGAGATTCCGCAGGAGCCATGTGATCCATATGACCAGTGTGGTGCTAACGGCCTTTGTAAGCTTAACTATTGACCCATCTGCGACTGTTTGAAGGGGTTCACTCCCAAATCACCAGGAGACTGAAATCTGGTGTGTATGGAGAACACCACTGGATTGCAGAAAAGAAGAGGGGTTTGCGAAGATCAGTGGGGTAAAACTTCCCGACTTGTTGCAATATTGGGTGAACGAAACCATGAACCTCAAGGAGTGCGAGGTTCATTGTTTGAACAACTGTTCTGGTGTGGTTTATGCCAGCCGATACGTAAACGAAGGAGATGAACAGTGTACTTACCCTTTTTTTATATTAGAAATTATATTAACAAGATTATTTTTATTAATAATAAAATCCAAAAATTACCTTATCAGTTATAATTTCTTAATTTTTTCCTTCCTCTTTTTCGTTTTTCACTGTTTTTCTTTTTTTTTTTTTTTTTTTTACTTTTCTACTATACAACGTTATAAAGCCGCGCTAAAGTAATTAAGAAAGTTAATTCACTTCACATGATAATCACATTTTCGTTGTGTCACACCACACACACATCTCGAAAAATAATAATGAAGAAGGAAACAAGCACCTTAAAAGAAGTGTCTAAAATGGACCTGACACCGAGCAACAGACATATGAGACACCCCCATGATGCCGTTTGTTGCTAGCCCACCGCCCAACCGTGGATTCATCCATCACCTCTCCACTCTGTAAGACTGTAACTGCCAAGTTACCATCCTCTCTCATTCGCTGCAGTTACCCAACCAAGAAAAAGAGGTATACATTTTTTTTTCTAAATAAAAGATAAAGAAATGTGAGAATAAAATATAGAGAAAAAAGGAATTTAACAAAAAAAGAATACGTTTCGCATTTCATTTGTAGCTTCGCTCAAAGACTCTTTGACTAATTTGATTTCCTTTTCGCTTTCTTTATGTTTATAATCGTTATATCAACAGAAGATAAAGGGAAGGGGGGATTGGGTTGGGGCTATCGGTGCTGCAGTGGTGGATAATGTGGTGCATGTATTTATCAGTAATTTGACCATTCAATTTCTCTACGCGTCGTTGCTGTCGATGTCGTCGGGAGCGTCGAGAGGGAAACATGTGTCCTCGGCACCAGTGTTCCAAAGGAAGTGAGCGTAGTTGGCTGCGTGAGCACTGTTGCCTGGGTCTGCCGCAATGGCCTCTAGAAATGTCTCCTCCGCTCCGCATACATCCTTTCGAGCCACCCACAAGAAGGTCGCGTACCGGCTCAACGACTCCGCATCCGGGGGTTCTACTCCCTTGATTGCGCGTTTGAAGTATTCCTCCGCTCTGAATTATTTCCAACCAATTCACAAATTAGACAGGACAATGCTTCCATCTAATAAGTTTAATAAATATTAAATAATAACCCCTCTCTAGTCTCTACCACCCACCCCAAGAAAAAAGAATAAAAACGAAAAGAGATAAAAAAGCTGCCCAAGCCCAACTCTATTAGAAACAAACCACCACTCATTGTTTGCCCGAAAAGGAATATCACACTATCTAAAGCATTTCTATTTTTGAACCAATTGCCACCGTCAACACGAGTTATTTCCCTCTCTGTTTCTCGAGTGTACTGAGAAACCACAAAAGCGGGACTCTGGTTCATGACATCCGCTGAGTACTGACCACCAACAACCCACAAAGAACGCCGAACGCCGATTTGATTTGAAAACGTAAATGTAAAACAGCCCAGAACAGCCAACAGGGTTTAAGTTTTTGGTTTACCTATCATGGTCGCGGACGACGAGGTAGAGGAATTGAGCATAGTTTGCCAGGATGAGAGGGTTGCCAGGCTCTTGGGACAAGGCCAGCTGATACATGAGTTCCGTCCTCAAGTAATCTGTGTAGTCTTCCGGCTCAATCTCCACCTTTATCGGCGAAACGAACCGTTGCGTTGTCTCGTGGTCCAGAGCCTCGTCCCTCATGCTCTCTTGCAGTCTACATGCTTCCTCCACGATTGCATTCCATAGATTCACCTCTTCTTCACTCGCCGTCCCCTCCTGACTCTCTGATTCCATAACCGTTTCCGACTCCCCACCTTCCTGTGTCGACGTAGGGTTCCCAAAAGATGACACCCGAGATATCTCGTCTGGCACAATGGTTCGATTCTCGTTCCACGATGATGAACCGTCGAATCGGCCATCACCATCGGTCCCACTGGCCACCGGGCGGACCTTTCCACCTCCACCATTGCTTCCCCCCACGAAGGTGCTCTTACCAGCCGAAGACGAAACAGAAAACGTCTTAATCGTCGAACCATCAAACTTGGACTGCTTTTGATTCCTGATGTCAGTCATCGTTACAGTCTCCACCGTGGCGCCCGAATACCCCGACGCCATTGTTGGTGCTGCAATGGCGGTGTTGTGACGCATCGAGTACACGGTGAAGTTGGCTAGAAGGATCATGACGTAGACCATGAGAGTCGGCGTGTGTGAGAACACCTGTTGAAAGAGCCAGACGAACGAAGCGTGCATCTCCTTCTGCACTCGATCCAGAATCCCTTGCAGATCTTCGTAGAAAAGGATCTCCCGCATCTGCAAAGCATAACTGTGAAGCTCTCGGATGATGAATACCATGGAAGAGAAGGCCTTCTTCACGGAGCAATAAGCGGATTCACCAGCTTCTCTGAAGCCTTCTTTCCATTGCCTCTTCTTCTTTATCATCCGAAGGGACAGGGGAAGATTAACGCTGTTCGCCTTCCGCTCTATGTTCGCCGGGATAATGTCATCCCTTTCCGGCCAGTCGGGGGGTTCTGGACTGATCCCCAGCCACGGAGTCTCTACAGAATCAAGAAGATTCCAAGGGGAAAACGGTATGGGAATCTGTACAGGGTTTATGATACTACTCATTCTGAATAAATCTTCATTGAAGCAACCGTTGTGGCTTCCGCTTTCTTCATCCCTCGAATTGCCGGCTTCATCTGATTCTATATCTTTATTGTTTATAATTTCGCTGTCCCCATTTGAAAAGAACTTGAACGCTAATTCTCGAATGTGCTCGGCCATTTCTTCCTCAGAAAATGACCCATCTGAACTGGCGCTGGCAGCTCTCTTTAACGTTTGGCCTCTGGTTTTTGTGTACTCGCAAGACCTTGACCTCAAGAACCTTATCGATGACGTTCGGAATAGAGACGACTGGTCGCCTCGAGGAACAATTTGGCAGACAATAGTTCGGTCGTTTCTGCCTCGTCTTTTCGACGGAGATACAATTGCAGAGGCGAGTGTTTGAGAAGAGGAAGGTGAGTGAGGAACGACAGACTGCGACCAATGCAAACAAGTCGCAGCAACCTTTATTCCCATTCCTCGATTTGGGGAACAAATTTTAGATAGACAAACAAAACAGAGGGAGAAAAACAGATGAAACTGAAGAGCTATTAAGGATGAGGAAGAAAAAAGGAGAAGCTTCACAAAACAGAGACGATTAAAAAAGGGTCAAAGTCCCGGACAGCTTGTGCAAAGGGGATTTTCTCTCTCTGGAACGGAAAACTCGCTGCTTTGTCCTTTTCTTTCTTGATCGGTTTCGGAGAAAGTCTCAGGATCACTTTTTTCCAGTTCACTCCAACCTGCAATAAAAATCGCAACCATGAGTCAAACTTGCACATGTTGTACAGGTGAAAAGTGGTATCTTCCCATGGTTCCGTTCTTTCTTTGAACTTTCTAGTTCAACACAAAACCCTAAAATTCCGAAAAATTCTTGTAACAAGAAAAGTTTGTGAACGCGAAAGCTTTTTTTCTGATAATCATAAAAGAGGAAAAGAAAAAGAAAAAAAAGCTTTGAGCTTTCGAATACGAGCCAAAATTCACAATTGACAGAAAACAGAAATCATGGGAATATAATCAAATTGGAGGTCATTATTCCCCCTCCAAGAAACTCGGATCCAAATAACGCAAAACGAGACCACTATCTTGCACAGGAATCTATGAGGGGAACTCGAAAGATGCGAATAATGAAGGCAAACGATAAGGGGAACAAATTTGAGAGAGATGTATTTTCACGAGCTCAGGAGCTTACTGGAACTTCTACCGGGTTCCGATTATCTTACAATAAGCTCCGGTGATGATTTCCGGCCCAAAGCGAAGCACGACCGTAGCTTCACTTATCTGACATCTCATGTAGAGACTCTGCTCTCTCTTATATACAAGCTCTCTCTCTCTCTCTCTCAGAAAGTAGGGTAAAAAGAATCTAACCGTATATACGTTCCATGACTACTGTATAAAGTATAAATCACGGTAGGAATACGGTTTCTCAAATTTCTGTAGGGTCCGTGTCATGAGGAAAGAATATACTAGGACTAGGCTTGAACCGGTTTTTTCTCCAACAGAGACAGTTAAAGGGTTGAAGAAGAAGTCTAAGCCACAGATATTTAGCCCGAGGCGGCTGAATTCACGGGTTCCAGCCAATGTGGCGGCCCAAGTTGGTAGCCACGTGGTTACACAGAGACCATTAAATGATAGTAAAACCGTGAAATCACCGACCTGGATGTCTTGATGGTAACACGTGTACATAGTTATTTAAGTTGACCCCACTTTAGTCGCTTAACCCGGGTTAAGAGGTGGGATTTGTCTGAGAGTTGATAGAGGACAGAGGAGACCGGAGAGGATATTTTCATATGGTGTTTGGACCTTACGAGTGCAAATTTGGAATTTTCAAAATAGACGAGAATACCCTTGGGCAAAAGAGGTGGGATTGATTGGTTCATGGTTTGGAGTTGGGAGTTAAGAAGAAAAATGACCTATGAGCAAAGAGGTGGCCGTGGCTTCATTCTATAAAAAGGGTTAAGTTTACAAGAGTAGCCTCTGAAACTTGGGCTACAGCGAGCAACGAGGCCGTGAGATCGAACGACCACAGAAATACACATGTGATGCCGCCTTGTGCATGGAGGGGGGTACGGAGATCACAAATAAAAAACACATGTACTCAAAAGCTTATGGGATCCTCATTCCTCTCAACTGGTGGCCGAGTATCACCAGCACACGCAGCACTCTGTTTGGCAGATAGTTCATAGGGTGGAAAATGAGCTGTGAACCGTTGGATTTTGATCAAGTGGCGTTCATGCAAATTCTTCAAAACTATATCCTATATTAAATGAAGAGAGATAATTATTTATATAGAAATTAAGGATGGCAGACAGACAGAGGTCGAGGTTGGAAAGGGACGTATATAGTTTGTATTAGATGATTCAATTAAGCAAATGGGTTGTTTGCATTTTGCCAACTCAACTGCTTGCAGTTGCATGCATGTTACATCTCCCCACTAAGATATATATTAGAGAGAGAGAGAATAGAAGGCCCATAACAATTGTAAAAATAATAATAATAATAATAATAATAATAATAGAGAGGACATTGTGTTTGGTAGGGAGTTTCTATCACAAATGCAGAAGAGCGAAGAGCCTTAGACAGAGTAAATCGTCAACACTCAACAGATGTAAATGTGGGCATGTGTATACTTGCATGCTAGCTCCATGAAGATCCCGTTATTTGGGTTATTATCTGTAAAACTTGATCGTGTCTTTCTGTGTCAAGGGAAAGGGAGAACAAATCAGGTATGGAGAAACGAGGATAATCAAAAATCACATATTTTTAAATCAACAAAAACAGAAAACATCATTCATATATAGTGGGTGTTTCGCACTGTAGCATTTTACAAACGTTTCGTTTTACAAGTGTTTTCCATTGTTTCACTTGCGTTTTTTGAAAACATAAAAATAAAATGCACTGTAGCATTTTACTTCAACTGCCGCTACTTGCTCTTCAGTCTTCATTGTCCTGTTCCAATGCAACCACCAAACTAGAAACTAGAAAGCACTGACCGACTCCATCCCTATTCTTCATCATTTTTGAATCACAACATAGCAAAGTCAGCTCGGCCAATCCATCGCCAACCCCTACACCTCTTCCATTCCAAATTGCCATTGAGAATCAAACACCCAAGCTATTGTTCGAACAACATTGGTTGAAAACAGAATCGCCACATGCTTCACCAACAAGAGTTATAGTTTTGTAACAAACACCTACACTGTTTCTCAAAATCGTAAAAACCAAGAACCATATTTGATGCCAAATAGAGCCTAAGGCTTTGTTTGGATAAACGTTGTTTTCACAATATTGCAAAAAAAAAAAAAAAAAAAATCAGCTAAAAAGTGTTTTAGATGCCTGATATGAGTTCCTCTTAAAAACACCACAATCTGAAATCAAAATCACTTCTAAGCAACAAAGATAGGGTTTAGTCTATAAATAGTACAAATACAAATCTACAAAATGCAAATACAAGGTCTAAAAATAGTGAGTAAAATCAAATCACTTTTAAACAACAAAACATAAAGCTCAGTTTGGAAGAAATGTATTTTTACTCTTTCCAAGAAGCTCAATTAAAAAAAAAAGAGTAAATATAAATATGTATAAGACAAAACCTTGTATTTTGTATTGTTAAACCTGTATTTACACTGTATATTTATATTTTGCACTCCTTTGAAAAGAACACTAATATATAAACAATGCAAATACATACAAAATAAAAGAAATGTTTAATCAATTATAAAATTTTCTGGGCACAAGACTGAGCCAATTTGTCTTGTCTGAGTCCAAGACAAATACATACTAATATAAATATAAACAATGCAAATACATACAAACCACATGCTTCTTCAATTTTAAAAGCATAAATTTTGAAACTTAAAGGAATAAAAATACAAATATATACAATATAAATACATACAAAATAATATAAAATACAAAATTATTTATATGTATAATCCTTTCAAACTGAGCCTTAAACTTAATTTAAAAAAGTATAAATATAAATATATACAAAATACAAAATTTTACGCTCTATATATTTATATTTATAATCCTTCCAAACTGAAACTTACGCAAACACAACCGACGTCAATGGTGTTTTTTTTTTAATACATTGCTTACTAATAAATAGAAAATCGAATGGTATGGCTTGAATATGATATGCCTTAAAAAAAAATTGAATATGATACAGTCATTATAGTCATCTATCTTTACAAAAAAAATGTAGTCATCTATCAATGTGGTTTTTGTTATATATAATCGAAGCAACAAAGAGGGTTAATAAAAGTTGAAAAAAGAAATGTTTAATAACTTTAATGTGAGGCACGGACGGTGAGATTAAGCCGGGAATCACCAATTTGCTAACGTCTATATCATTGCAGGCAAAAGGCAGCCAATGACCTCTAACGGCAATTCCCTTATAACGATGGAGATTGTTTTACCCTCAGGTCCTTTGCTAGGTCCTGGAGCTCTGACCTCTCACTGTTTTTCCCTTTTATAAATTGATGAATAGACCTGTTCATAAGCCGGTTAGTTCGATGGGCCGGCTCGACCCCCGGACGGACTTGCGCACAGATATAAGCCCGTGGGTTTGACCATGGGCTTAAAAGCCCGAGCCCTATTATTTTATTGGTCGGGCTTGGGATTTGCCACAAAAGTCAAGCTCGAGCCAGGTCCAGCCCGATCAAGTGTAATCTATTCTAAACCCTAGCCAAATAACCCTTTCCTATTCCCTCTCTTTAGTCTTCATCTTCTATCTTCTCTCATCACTCTCACTCTCAAGAATTGGCACGAACCTAGATAGATAACCACTGTTCTCAGTCTCAGAAGTGACACGTGAGCTCAGGCATCAACGATCTTAGGCATCGGTTATTTTTCTCTCCGATAGTGAGTCCTCTCTCTCTCTCTCTCTCTCTCTCTCTTGTCCCTCGCGTAGTTTTCATTTTCAGTTTCTCACTCATTGTCGCATATTCTCACTTTCTCAGGAACCAATGAACTCAAAGCACCGGGGAACTTAGGCACCAACGCTAGCCTAACCACCAATGAACTCAGTCGCCCCTCTCTCCGATGGTTAGTCCTGTATTTCACAAATTTGTACAGATCATGCATTTTGTAGTCTGTAATCTATATAAATCATGCATTTCTCAACTCTGTTAGCTCGAGTACATGGGTTTTGGGCTTATCACTTATGAGTGAAAATCACAATTGCATTGAAGTTAAACCCATTTGCCATCTGTTGAAGAATTGAAGTAAGAACAGAGTTAGAGAATTTTTTAGAACAAAAATTGTGTGAATTGGGCTTCGATCTCGGGCCCAAGCTTCGGGCGTTTTATGATGGTCGAGCTTGGGCCTAAGTTGTAGGCCCGATGGTCGGGTCGGGCTCAGGCTCAAGCCTGAAATATCCTGTTAATGAAAAACAAAAGGTACGCTCACATAACCGTCGTTAGGGGTGCAACTGGATGATCCAATCCTATTTCGTCAAATTTGGATGACTCCTGTTCGGATCTTTGGATTAGATCGAATATTAGTATCTGATTAGATATTGAATCAGATTCGAAATTGGATTCGGATCACCTCCTATCCGATTTGAGAAGATCCGATATGATATATGTTATATATTTATTTATATAAATATATTATATATATGTTATTTATTTATTTATAAATATATTATCTATATTATATTTGTATAAATTGTTGTATTATTTATTTATTAATAAAAACATGTATATATGATGAAAATAATCAAAAAATGTTTGTATTTTTTTTTTTTATTTAAATTGGCATATTTTATTTTTTCTTTTAATAATTTATTAGAATTTAATGAAAACAAGTTGGATCGGATTAGATCCAAAGATCCAACTCACCGATAGGATTCGAATTCATATCGAGGCCTATCAGATTCGGTCGAATCGGATCCAAACCTGTTTTGGTCGTCTTCTTCGCCCGGATGGTCAAAACGGTCCTGTGTTGACCCGATTGGTATACACCAATTATTTGACGCTTTTTCTTTTCTTTTTAATTTCCATTTTTCAATTGTTTATACATGCATTTTCAATAAAGAAGTGGTTTGACCTTCTTCCTGATGCTTGGAAACATCTGAGAGTTGGAGGAAAATCTGAATCATCTGAAAGTTGGAGGAAAATCTGAATCGCTAAAACAGCTATAGTTGGTACAGCCGAAGCGTTTGCAACCTGGAGGATCTG